ACAGTAGGAGGATCTTCCTTATCCCTTTCCCATGGTGCACTAACTCACAGTTCAAGAATCAGTTTTGAACCTCAAATTCATTATTTCGTCATTCTGTATTTGAAGGTCGTTTTAGGCAGCAGCATGTTTCTAATTCCATGATTCCTTTTATATCTCAGATTCTGTTTCTTTTTGTGGTGGTTGTGGGGGTTAGGGGGTCTCATGTAGTCTGGCTTCAAACTTCATAGTAGCTATGGAGGAACTTGAATTTCTGATCTTCCTGCCTCCACCTCTCAAGTGTTGGGCTTCATGCGTGCTGTACTAGAACCCTAGCCACTGAGCTACATCCCCCACTCCAGATTCAGCTGATCATTTCCTTTACCGTAAGAAGCCTTCATTATTTATGCTTTTTATGATATATGGCATCATGTAACCCAGACCTCAGGGCAATCTAGAACTCAACCTCTTAAGTATTTTTAAAAATTTATTCTTCTAGGTTTTCTAGGCCCCCGACATTCTCTACTCTCTTCTCCCGTCCGGCCTCCTGCCTCCCTTCCTTCCTAGTCACAGTGTTCCCATCATTTCCACCCTCCCCCCAAGATCTCCAACTCCCGCCATCTTTCTGTTCCTGACTTCCCGTGCTCCCCGACACTATGCTCCCTTGCATGTCCCTGTCTCTTCCCCCTGCCCATTGCTCTAGAGGAAAAAGTGATTCCTTAGAAACCCTATGAGAAATGCACATAGAGTGTCTGAGCATTAATGCATATGTATACCTCGGAGCTGATTCACAGGGAATGCTGTGTCAGAGAGAAGAGACCTCCCTTAGAGCGACAAACATGCCATACAGCACTTCTCAAAGAAGCTCATTTTTGCAACAGGTGGAGGCTACTGCAGAGTTGCACATCTGGTCAGGCACAGAGAACATACACCTGGGAGATGCCCAGTACTAGGTGACACATCTGCAGTTGAATCTCTACAACCAAGGCTCATGGAACACAGGGGAACAAGGGGTAGAGAGAGGGTAATGCACCTCTCAACCCTCACCAGTGAGGCTTCCATGTACATCAGAGTGCATTTTACACAGAAGGCCTCAATTGGCCAAGTTTTGGAGAATAAGAGACTGTAGAGTGTAGGACGGAACTTCACCCACCCATGGCTCAGGGACCATTGTGGAAGAATAGGCTGAGAGACTCTAAGAACCACGGACGAGTCATGAAAATATGAGGTGGAGGCTTCCAGTCCAATGGAGACTTACTCATGTGCACCTGTGGCACGGTGGCATCAAAAGCGGGATCCATGTCAGCTCAGTTAAACAAGGGCCCAAAGGGGAGGTGAGAAATAGGTGGTGGATCAGCACATGATCGAGATCTATTTGAGACTAGTAACTACTGGGTGAGAGAGAGAATGACTTACATCCACTGGATGGGCTGACTAGACATTTGGGTACAAACACCTGAATAAATAGGACTCAGTATGTATGGCAGAGTGTATAGGGTTTGGGGCCGGGGAGGGATGCGTGAATGGGGGAGAGGGTCTGGATGGGAGTGGAAAATATTGTATGAAATCTTAAAAGCAAAATAAAAATTTTTTGGTCTTTTTGAGACAGGGTCTCCCTGTAGCCCCAATTGTCCTGAAAATCACTATGTAGACCAGGCTGGTCTTGAACTCACAGAGATCCTCCTGCCTCTGCCTCCTGAGTGCTGGGTTTAAAGGTGTGCACTACCATTCCCGGCTATAATAAAAGATTTTTTTAAAGCACATAAAAGAATGTATTCTTATTATTTTAATGTGTATGCATGTATTGCCTACATGCATGTGAGTGCGCCCTCGTTGTGTAATGCCCACTGAAGTCAATCAGGGTGTTGGATCACCTGGCACTACTTAGCCACCATGTAGGGGTCATGTAGAGGTGTTGGGATTCAAACCCGGTCCTCTGCAAGAGTGGTCAGTGCACTGAGGCATCTCTCCAGCTACTCTTTCTGCCTGAGAAAATTCCAGAACAAACTGGGACACATGAAAGGAGAGAGAGAGAGAGAGAGAGAGAGAGAGAGAGAGAGAGAGAGAGAACCAGTGTGCGCCACATTTGTGATACATGGCCTAATGCAACCTCAGGAGGCTGAGGAGTCCTCCCCTTAGGAACCGGAACCTCCCAAAAGCTGGGATTACTGGCATGTACCACCACATTCACGGCTCTTTTTTTTTTATTCAACCCCTTGATTAAATCAAATGGACCCGTTTGTAATACACTTTTCAAGCATATCCTATTTGAAGGTGTCATACCTTTCATAAGAAAACAAGTTTGGCCAGAGTGATTGCTTGGTGGTTAGGAGTTCATATTGCGATGTGCAGGACCTGAGTTTGGTAACCAACATCCATATGAGACAACTCACAAATACTTACGATCCTCAGCTCCACCACATTCTTCCCAGAAGTTCTGGTGCACTTTCCAAAAATCCATTACTTGTACTTTCCACCTTCAGTAAGGAGAAAAGGAAAGAAGCTTCAGATTGACCAAGGCCAAATCTGTCTCCACTTTGAGTCTCCATCTCGGTCATCAGATGTTCCCTTCTGTGAGCATCCTTATTGTGTGTGAGCATCCTTATTGAGCTGTGTCTATAACCCTGTTCTACAGTATCCGTTCGGGTCCTCTTGAACCTGGGCTGCTCCCACCTCTAGTGCCTATGGGAGGAGGCAGGACAAGATGACTCTGCTGAGGACACATCTGCTTTAAGCTGTCCTCTGCACTGAGGAGTCATTTCCCAAGTGTTTCAGCAACAACCGATGCCTCGGTTTCCCCAAGCTGATACTTCTGAGGTGTCTCATCCATCTAAAACCATATTCTCCCTGACTCCAGTTATCTCCTCCCAGTCCTGTACCCGAGTCCTCTCTCCTACAAAACCTGGCTCTTGCTCACTTGGAGAAAACCTAAAGTGTCAGGAGGATATCCAATCTGTCCAGCATATCCTTCAAGGTCTCCAGGTAGGTGTGGTGTCTTCATCTGGGATCCCATGGGGAGGCAAGGGAAGAGGCAGGATGGCACCATTGCCCTAAGAATGATTGCTTTTCTGCTAATGAAGGCTCCTTGAACAGTTGGTGTGAAGAGCTTATGGGAAGATCCTCCAGAAGGATCTTGGGTGGCCAAGTCTTCATGGGTCAGTAGCACCTGCCTTGGGATTTCCAGGGGTGTGTATGGGGCCTGGGCACTCATCCTGATGGATCTTCATGGAGTTGGATCCTGGGAAGCATCCAGGAAGCCATCTCTTCAGACCGAAGGCTCAGGAAGCCATTCTCCACCACAGAACAATCAGCCACAGTCACTCCTCTGCCAATGGAGACCTCAGTTTACTCCATTCTTATCACTCACTAGTGGGGTCACAAATCACATTGTCCCCTCATTGGCTGGGGGTGGGGGCAGGTGTGCTGTTATTGACACATGTCCATCATTGTCCCATTTCAGCCACTGTCCCTCTGAATCCCAGTGCCACTGGGAATTGAGCACCCAGGATTCTGAATGCTGACCCAATCTTCTTAAGTGTGAGCCATCTCTGATCATCTTTCCAGGTATTCAAAGGAAGGCAAAGGAAACATCATATGACCAACCTTCTCACATTCTCCAATCAAACAACTGAACCTGGGTGGGCACAATCTAGGACCTCTATTGGCCACCTAAACCACATTTCGTTTGTGCTTTTTTGTCAGATCGCTCTCCAACAGGTACGGCACAGGGAGAGA